TATTATTATTATTATTATTATTATTATTATTATTATTATTATTATTATTATTATTATTATTATTATTATTATTATTATTATTATTATTATTATTATTATTATTATTATTATTATTATTATTATTATTATTATTATATTCAAGTTTAACGTCCATACCGAGCCTTCCGGCTATGACAGACCCGTCTCTTGGGCGAAAGCCCCTATCAGTATCTAAATTCTTCTTTGATCAATGTGTGCCTTTTCCTCGCCCCAGGCTGCCTAAATGCGCAGGGCTTTTGGGCCCTAGAAGCCCTCCTTGGTGTCGCTGTCAGTTTGGGTGTCACCTACCTGCTGCAGGCCACCCTCCCCTTCTATCCCTCCCCCTCTCGATCCGCCTCTTCTAGAGCCTGTAGCCCCCATTCATCGTCTATTTGTGCTCTGACAATTGTCCGTGTCTCTTCTCCTGGGGCGCAGCCTACTCTTGTGTCTGCTAGAAACTGCAGAATAGCCTTGGTAGCCCTAGGGTCCCCAAAGAGCCTTCCCTCAGGGTGGTCCTCGGCCATGGTCGGTATGGTAACTCTAGCCCTGGTCAAGTTCTTGTATAGAGCTGTTCGCTGCCGTCGCCACTATCTACACTCGAACGGGAGGTGGTAGACTGACTCCTTGGGTGCCTGGCACCCCTGGCATGCCTCTGATTCTCGTGCCTGGGTCTTTTGTAGGTAGGTTCCGATGGCCGCATGGCCTATTTTAAGCTGGTAGTACCGACTGGCTATCTTCTTTAGGGCTGCAGCAGCTACTGGGTCTTGTCTCCAGCCAGGTTGTGTCCTATATACTCTCTGAGCTTCTAGGCTTCTGCGGCCTAGTGCCTTTGTGAGCCATTGTTGTCCATGGGCCTGAATTACTTCTGTGCAAGCTCGATTCACATAGGCCAGGGAAAGCTCTCCAGAGCCTCTTTGGGGCGTCTTTTCAGCTGCTTGTTTAGCTGCCTGGTTGGCCTTTTCGTTCCCCTCGACGCCATGGTGCCCAGGGACCCATTGGATTGTAACTTTCCTGCCTTGAGCTTCTAGGGTCTGAGCCGCTTGATAAGCTCGGATGGCTAGTCCTTGCCCGGGGCCTGGTTGTCGGTGTTGGAGTCGTGCGATGGCTGCCTGGGAATCTAGTAAGATGGTGACTGGTCCCTGGCCACAAAGCCTTGGGGTGAGCTCTAAGGCCCTGCATGCTCCTATAAGCTCTGCATCGAACACTTCCTTCCCTTTCCCAAGGGGATCTCCCGTGTCTGCCAGACCCCTTGGGGGTTCTGCCATGCAATGCCTGCGCCTACCTGGCCTTATGGCTGGCCAAGCGGACGGGTGTGCGGAGTCACGAACCCTCGTCTTCGCTGGCGTGCCGGTCTTGCTGCTGACTTTGGAACCATCCTCTTTCTTGCGACCCAAGCTGGAGCTCGATCAAGAAGGGTCTACCGAAGCCCTCCTCTTTTCCTTTTCTCTCTTTTCCTCGGTCACCTTTCCTCCGCTCGAGCTCCCTTTTCTCGACTATCTCTGGTCTGCAGTCAGAGGCTGGCTTGGTGGCGCGGTGCTTCGATATTCGTGCCGTGACGAGGACCCCTTCGGATCAGTCTTGCCCTTTCCCCGTCGGCCAGGTCGGTCGGATCTGGTGTGAGGATATCGATTTTCCTACCCACATCATCTCTACTCCAGACTGCCTCCTTGCTGTGGGCTTTCGAAAAGGTCGGGTAAGGCAGGCTGGTCCTCGACTCGAGGAAAGCGGCCGCGCCCGACCGGCTGACACTCTCAACCTCTGGCATC